GGCACACAAGACCATGGTACCGGAATCGGTCTACTGCTTCACTGCCACAAATACACCAATGTTCGGCGAGAATGGGGGCGGCAAGTCGAAGGGCAACACCGATGCGGATGGTCTGTGGGTCGAGGCGTGTGCCATGGCTGGAGTTGGGAACAGCCAACAGAAAGCCCCCAGCATGAGGGGCTCTCACTGCCAGGAGGCGGGCTCTATCCTTCCCTGACACACTCTGAATTATTGTTGAGGCTATATTTTCCATTATTCGACCATCCCAGTGCGATTGTTTGTAGTTGTTGGGGGGAGCAGTTCTGGTTTCAGAGCCCGTTAGATTATCCCAGATCATGGCTCCGTCAATGAATTTTTGGTCCTGGACTCCAATCTTGTCCCTAAGATGTTCAGGGAGAATCGCTGCTACAAGCTCTCTGGACGCAATATACGAGGACAGAAAAGCAGGTAACGCAATCTGTGATGACTTGCGGACACCAATGCCTCCTAGTCTGACTGGAAGTGTAGCTTGGTTCCACTGCCCGTCTCCTAGAGTAAGGTTAAGTACTTTCGTAAAAATCTGCCTCAGAATACTGTCATATTCGTGCAGTATAGGGTTATCATATGAAGGTGCACATCTTAGGAAATATGTCAACCTGGGCAGACACAAGCACTTTGTGAGAAGGTACAAGGCATCGTGGGTGTCCAGATTGCCTATTCGTTGTTCCATTCTCCTTAACTCTTCCAATTTCTTCATGAGAATTGTGTCAATGGTATTGCTTCCCAGAGGTGCTCCTAGCAAGACACTATTTGTGGGGGCAATGACTGCTGCTCCTGGTAGTTTTGATCTCACTGCATTTATCACTTGTTGACTGACTGAGATGATTTCACATTTGGATGGATTCAGGATGAGACCCATTTCCTGTCCCCGTGTCATTACCTGTGTAAGGTCATGTAGGAGGGACTCCTTTGTACCTGCTAGTGTGCCATCATCTAGGAACCAGATATTTAGCTCGCTGGTCAGTCTGACTGTGATTTCCCTAACTGCTATACAGAAGAGAAATGGTGCAAGAGGATCTCCTTGTTGGACACCCTCCGATGATGTGATTTCATGCTCTCCAAAGAGAAGCATTGATTCCTTGCTATACCCAGCTGAAACAAAAAGGAAGAGACCAGGGAAATGTTCTTGTACTGTTGCTAATACCACGTCTCTTTTCAGGAGATTGAACGCATTCTTGAAATCTAATTTTACCACTGCATTGTCCTCAGGCAGGTTGTTGATAGTTTAGTTTAATATGTTTATTATGCACCCCTTACCCATCCTGTGGGCGGTAGTCAAAAGATTACAGAGGTACATAATTGGTCCAGGGACTGGACTCCAAAGTTTTGATAGCTGAGCAAGTTACAGATATACGTGCCGAATAGGCAGAACTTGCGATCTTGGCTTAAATAGCAACGTTCATCTTGCCATATAAGACAAGCGAAAATTTGTGTATGCAATAATTTCGCCAAAATCATTCTGAACCTAACGAAAAAAAATGTATATATATATATATATATATATATTTTTATTTTTTTTATTATCACACCGGCCGATTCCCACCAAGGCAGGGTGGCCCGAAAAAGAAAAACTTTCACCATCATTCACTCCATCACTGTCTTGCCAGAAGGGTGCTTTACACTACAATTTTTAAACTGCAACATTAACACCCCTCCTTCAGAGTGCAGGCACTGTACTTCCCATCTCCAGGACTCAAGTCCGGCCTGCCGGTTTCCCTGAATCCCTTCATAAATGTTACTTTGCTCACACTCCAACAGCACGTCAAGTATTAAAAACCATTTGTCTCCATTCACTCCTATCAAACACGCTCACGCATGCCTGCTGGAAGTCCAAGCCCCTCGCACACAAAACCTCCTTTACCCCTCCCTCCAACCCTTCCTAGGCCGACCCCTACCCCGCCTCCTTCCACTACAGACTGATACACTCTTGAAGTCATTCTGTTTCGCTCCATTCTCTCTACATGTCCGAACCACCTCAACAACCCTTCCTCAGCCCTCTGGACAACAGTTTTGGTAATCCCGCACCTCCTCCTAACTTCCAAACTACGAATTCTCTGCATTATATTCACACCACACATTGCCTCAGACATGACATCTCCACTGCCTCCAGCCTTCTCCTCGCTGCAACATTCATCACCACGCTTCACACCCATATAAGAGCGTTGGTAAAACTATACTCTCATACATTCCCTCTTTGCCTCCAAGGACAAAGTTCTTTGTCTCCACAGACTCCTAAGTGCACCACTCACTCTTTTTCCCTCAATCAATTCTATGATTCACCTCATCTTTCATAGACCATCTGCTGACACGTCCACTCCCAAATATCTGAATACGTTCACCTCCTCCATACTCTCTCCCTCCAATCTGATATTCAATCTTTCATCACCTAATCTTTTTGTTATCCTCATAACCTTACTCTTTCCTGTATTCACCTTTAATTTTCTTCTTTTGCACACCCTACCAAATTCATCCACCAATCTCTGCAACTTCTCTTCAGAATCTCCCAAGAGCACAGTGTCATCAGCAAGAGCAGCTGTGACAACTCCCACTTTGTGTGTGATTCTTTATCTTTTAACTCCACGCCTCTTGCCAAGACCCTCGCATTTACTTCTCTTACAACCCATCTATAATATATTAAACAACCACGGTGACATCACACATCCTTGTCTAAGGCCTACTTTTACTGGGAAAAAATTTCCCTCTTTCCTACATACTCTAACTTGAGCCTCACTATCCTCGTAAAAACTCTTCACTGCTTTCAGTAACCTACCTCCTACACCATACACTTGCAACATCTGCCACATTGCCCCCTATCCACCCTGTCATACGCCTTTTCAAATCCATAAATGCCACAAAGACCTCTTTAGCCTTATCTAAATACTGTTCACTTATATGTTTCACTGTAAACACCTGGTCCACACACCCCCTACCTTTCCTAAAGCACTCCTTGTTCATCTGCTATCCTATTCTCCGTCTTACTCTTAATTCTTTCAATTATAACTCTACCATACACTTTACCAGGTACACTCAACAGACTTATCCCCCTATAATTTTTGCACTCTCTTTTATCCCTTTGCCTTTATACAAAGGAACTATGCATGCTCTCTGCCAATCCCTAGGTACCTTACCTTCTTCCATACATTTATTAAATAATTGCACCAACCACTCCAAAACTATATCCCCACCTGCTTTTAACATTTCTATCTTTATCCCATCAATCCCGGCTGCCTTACCCCTTTCATTTTACCTACTGCCTCACGAACTTCCCCCACACTCACAACTGGCTCTTCCTCACTCCTACAAGATGTTATTCCCCTTGCCCTATACACGAAATCACAGCTTCCCTATCTTCATCAACATTTAACAATTCCTCAAAATATTCCTTCCATCTTCCCAATACCTCTAACTCTCCATTTAATAACTCTCCTCTCCTATTTTTAACTGACAAATCCATTTGTTCTCCAGGCTTTTTAACTGTTAATCTCACTCCAAAACTTTTTCTTATTTTCAACAAAATTTGTTGATAACATCTCACCCACTCTCTCATTGCTCCTCTTTTACATTGCTTCACCACTCTCTTAACTTCCTCTCTTTTTCTCCATAACTTCCCTCTTGCATCACTTCTAACTTTGTAAAAATTTCATATGCTAACTTTTTCTCCTTACTACTCTCTTTACATCATCATTCCACCAATCCGCTCCTCTTCCCTCCTGCACCCACTTTCCTGTAACCACAAACTTCTGCTGAACACTCAAACACTACATTTTAAACCTACCCCATACCTCTTCGACCCATTGCCTATCTCTCATTAGCCCTTCTATCCTCCAATAGCTGTTTATATCTTACCCTAACTCCCTCCTCTTTTAGTTTATAAACCTTCACCTCTCTCTTCCCTGATGCTTCTATTCCCTTGAAATCCATCTACCTTTTACTCTCAGTGTAGCTACAACAGAAAGTGATCTGATATATCTGTGGCCCTCTATAAACATGTACATCCTGAAGTCTACTCAACAGTCTTTTAATCTCCCAAAATACATAATCCAACAAACTACTGTCATTTCGCCCTACATCATTCGGTATACTTATTTATCCTCTTTTTCCTTAAAATATGTATTACTATAATAAACCCCTTTCTATACAAAGTTCAATCAAAGGGCTCCCATTATCATTTTACACCTGGCACCCCAAACTTACCTACCACACCCTCTCAAAAAGTTTTCTCCTACTTTAGCATTCAAGTCCCCTACCACAATTACTCTCTCACTTGGTTCAAAGGCTCTATAAAATTCACTAACATCTCCCAAAATCTCTCTCTCTCCTCTGCATTCCTCTCTTCTCCAGGTGCATACACCCTTATTATGACCCACTTCTCGCATCCAACCTTTACTTTAATCCACATAATTCTTGAATTTACACATTCATATTCTCTTTTCTCCTTCCATAACTGATCATTTAACATTACTGCTATATAATATAAAATATAATATATATTATATATATATAAATATATTTATATATAAAATATATATATATATATATATATATATATATATATAATATATATTATATATATATATAAAAATATATATATATATATTTTATAATATATCTTCTTAGAGTATATATACTATATTGTAATTAAATAAGTATTTGATACACATTATATAATTCCTTTTTTCATTGATGTTGAGAGGACTCAGATGGTCATATAAAATACACATTATGTGAATTTAAATTAGGAGAATCAGGTAAAGTAAAAAAAAGTGAGTAAATATATATATAGACCCGCGTGGTATATCACAGAAATTTAATGGACAACATATATCATTTTCTCCTGACAAACTAAAAAAAAAAACCCTGAAATTTCACAAATACACCAAATTTCGACGAATAATAACTTATATTATTATAAATGATATAAAATCCACAATAAATATCAAGTGAATTGATTATTGTGTTTCCTGCGTAATTAATGTGTAGAGGAGGAGGCAAGGTGGCGGCCCAGGAGCTAGCGCTCGCTGATAATATTAACACTGAGTGGTGTTATCTGTGAGTGGTGTGTTATCTGTGAGTGGTGTGTTATCTTGTGTGCTGATGTGAGTTTAGTGGTGGAGGAGAGACAGTGTTGACATAGATGGCAGCAGCACCAAAACCCTGGGACACACATAATGCTGTCAACCACAGACAATATAACTTTAACCCCGACAATATTAACTCGTAAGTTATTAAGTTATTGTTCTTGACAGTGTTAACTTGTAAGTTATCAGTCCAGAGTTATTGTTCTTGATAGTGTTAACATGTAAGTTATCAACCCAGAGTTATTATTATTGACAGTGTTAACTTGTAAGTTATCAGTCCAGAGTTATTGTTCTTGACAGTGTTAACTCGTAAGTTATCAGTCCAGAGTTATTATTCTTGACAGTGTTAACATGTAAGTTATCAACCCAGAGTTATTATTATTGACAGTGTAACTTGTAAGTTTTCAACCCTGAGTTATTGTTCTTGACAGTGTTAACTCGTAAGTTATCAACCCTGAGTTATTATTCTTGACAGTGTTAACATGTAAGTTATCAACCCAGAGTTATTATTATTGACAGTATTAACTTGTAAGTTATCAACCCTGAGTTATTGTTCTTGACAGTGTTAACTCGTAAGTTATCAACCCAGAGTTATTGTTCTTGACAGTGTTAACTTGTAAGTTATCAGTCCAGAGTTATTGTTCTTGACAGTGTTAACATGTAAGTTATCAACCCAGAGTTATTATTATTGACAGTGTTAACTTGTAAGTTATCAGTCCAGAGTTATTGTTCTTGACAGTGTTAACTCGTAAGTTATCAGTCCAGAGTTATTATTATTGACAGTGTTAACTTGTAAGTTATCAGTCCAGAGTTATTATTACTGACAGTGTTAACTTGTAAGTTATCAACCCAGAGTTATTATTATTGACAGTGTTAACTTGTAAGTTATCAACCCAGAGTTATTATTCTTGACAACATTAACGTAAGTTATCAGTCCAGAGTTATTATTCTTGACAGTGTTAACTTGTAAGTTATCAACCCAGAGTTATTATTATTGACAGTGATAACTTGTAAGTTATCAACCCTGAGTTATTATTCTTGACAGTGTTAACTTGTAAGTTATCAACCCAGAGTTATTATTCTTGACAGTGTTAACTTGTAAGTTATCAACCCTGAGTTATTATTCTTGACAGTGTTAACATGTAAGTTATCAACCCAGAGTTATTATTCTTGACAGTGTTAACTTGTAAATTATCAACCCAGAGTTGTTATTCTTGACAACATTAATGTAAGTTATCAGTCCAGAGTTATTATTCTTGACAGTGTTAACATGTAAGTTATCAACCCTGAGTTATTATTCTTGACAGTGTTAACTTGTAAGTTATCAACCCAGAGTTATTATTCTTGACAACATTAACGTAAGTTATCAGTCCAGAGTTATTATTCTTGACAGTGTTAACATGTAAGTTATCAACCCTGAGTTATTATTCTTGACAGTGTTAACATGTAAGTTATCAACCCTGAGTTATTATTCTTGACAGTGTTAACATGTAAGTTATCAACCCAGAGTTATTATTCTTGACAACATTAACGTAAGTTATCAGTCCAGAGTTATTATTCTTGACAGTGTTAACATGTAAGTTATCAACCCTGAGTTATTATTATTGACAGTGTTAACATGTAAGTTATCAACCCAGAGTTATTATTCTTGACAACATTAACATATAAGTTATCTTAATCAAGGACCACAATGGAAATAAGTCACTTCTTCTTCTTCTTTTTGATTTGCCGGTACTCTCCCGGCCCGGGCCTTTTCCAAGTGGTGGCCCGGCCTTGGCTCCCTCTTTAGGGAGTGTCTGAGACCTAAGTCTCCCATGGGAGGAGGCACAAGTACCTCCTCATCTTTGGGACCAACTGTCCCCAGGCCTAGCCACAAGCTAGGCCTCTCTGGTCTGCCATCCCCGCCCCAAGGGAGCAAATGGGAATGACAGTCTTATGAGCTAAAGGCTCGGGCTCAGGCACCTCCGTGTATTAATAAGTCACTGACTTTTTTCTGTTATCTTGTGGTAATCAATATGTTGCTATGTATGATAATTGATGTAACTGTATTTATGTGTACCTGAATAAACTTACACAATCCCTGACATCAACTTGTAAGTTATCAATCCTTACAACATCAACTTGTAAGTTATCAATCCTTACAACATCAACTTGTAAGTTATCAATCCTTACAACATCAACTTGTAAGTTATCAATCCTTACAACATCAACTTGTAAGTTATCAATCCTTACAACATCAACTTGTAAGTTATCAATCCTTACAACATCAACTTGTAAGTTATCAATCCTTACAACATCAACTTGTAAGTTATCAATCCTTACAACATCAACTGCTAAGTTATCAGTCCCTAAAATCATCATCTTTTAAGTTATCAAACCTTCCTGGGGGGGGGGGGGTCCCCTAGTGCTACTACAAGGCTCTTCATCCCAGGAATTAGAGCTACAGTGTCCCTTTAGCCTTATTATCTCCTTCCCAAGGGGCTGTATTACCCCTGAGTGTTTATCACTTTCCTATAAATATAAAGAATATTGTAGTAATTTGAAGAGTATATGATTAAGAAGTATTATAGTCCTACTGTTTTATTAACTAGTGTTTTATTGATTTTTGTGCTTAATTTGTTATATTAACATTGTCTTATAGGCCTAGGTCACTCCTTTTTTTACAAATTGAATAATTTACCAACAATAACTTATAGACTATATATCAGTATTTTGGAAAAATCATAACTGTACTACGTACTTCATGGCTAAACACGAAAAATGATTCCCTGAAATTATTAAATCGAATGATGATATAAGAATTAGATAAAGCAATATTTAATAAGAATAAATACCCATTTGAACTATTTATTGTCTTACAAAATATTTATTAAGCCTTGGTTAACAATCTTCATAGGCTTACAGCCTATAATAGGTGCCTCTTGTCTTAAGTGGTAGTGTTCTGTGCATGATTGAAAGTACCTGTGATGAGTTATGGACAGGTTGAGGCTGATCAGCATGTATCCTAACACCTGCTTCCCAGGGAAACTAGGAAGAAATAAATTCCTAGCAGTTAACTGACTGTTCTGGGGCACATCTTAGGGAGAACCTTTAATAAGGATCCCACTAAAAAAAAAAAATACTTCAGGGCTTTTTTTGTATTATCCTTGGTAATTAATCCTCTAGGTCTAGGGTAACTAATCTGAATAGTCACCTTCCTGACCTCACTGAATTAAATTGAGAAATATAATGATATCCTAGGTTAAGTCATCATAAACTGTGTGGATATGGTACTGCATTTTTTTTTTTTTTTTTTTGGGGGGGGGGGTTAAGCTGCAGAATTATTTATGTTTGGTAATTTTAAGCCACAACAGTCCACTAACTCTTAAATCTCTTATTAATGAGGCCATGATATATACCTGCTATTTTACTTTTTTTTCTATGATTTTCATGACTTAACCTACAATTATTTTGGATATTAGCAAGATCTAAAATTTTTATTGTTGTCATTTGTACATATTTTAGCATTATATATTTCTTGCATTCCATTGCCAGGTTTTATTAATTTTATATTTATTATTAATATATCGGCTGTCTCTCACCAAGGCTGGGTGGCCCGAAAAAGTGAAACTTCATCATTCACTTCATCACCGTTTTGCCAGAGGTGCACTTACACTAACATTATATAACTCCAGCATTAACACATCCCCCTTGAATTCCATTGTTACCCATTTCCTTTTTCTACTTGTCTCTCTATTTTTCTTTTTTCACCTTAATTCCCAATGCTTCATACCTTCCCATTCTTCCCTTCTCAAAGTCCATTATTGCATGCTCGTTTGCTTTTTTTTTTTTTTTTTTTTTAAATTTAATTTCCCTTCAGTGATGCAGATTCTGTGTAAAGCACACTGAGGGTTTGAAGTAGTCTGGGAGGAAGGAGTGTGGGGTGCTACTGTTTGTACTTTTCAAGGGTGCTTGCTGTCTGCTAGTATTTTTAGTGATATTATCTACATTATTGCTATGTTTACCTCAGTATTTAATGTAGCTTCTAATTTTCAGTGTTTTATATTGTCCTCTTGCAGAATTATTCCCTTAGCTTTCTGCTTCACATTCAGTCTGCTCCATTGCCTCTTTAACGAACTCAAACTATTTCTTTTATTGGTTCCCTAAACATTCTGGCATATTGATCAGTGAGAGATGATTTCTGCAGGATGTTCATACTCTCAACAATCAGTTGTCTATTTCAAATTTTTAGGGAATTTTTACTTTGGTTTCACTTACTTGGTGGAGAAATCATTGTTAGTCGTCAGCAGAGACCAGTCACTTTACTACAAATGTGTGCCTAAGCTTCTGGTCAGCCTCACATTATAGGCACTTGTGTGAGCCTGTTCTCTGAAGACTATATGGCGGGTTAGGTTCCGAGCTACTGTTGTAGAGCAAAAATCACTCTAAAGTGAAACATAGCCCTTTTTTTCACTTTCAGATGATGTAAAAGCCTGATAACATGCTTACATTCTCATATAATAAGTGAGCAATATAAATAGGCCTAAAAAATGCATATGTATCAGGGTATACAACAAATTCTAACCATACAATAGAGCAAAAAAGTAATGTGAAGACCTGGGAGTGATAGTGTCAGAGGATCACACCTTCAAAGACCACAACAATGTATCGACTGCATCTGCTAGGAAGATGATAGGATAGATAATGAGAACCTTCAAAACTAGGGATGCCAGCCCATGATGATTCTCTTCAAATTGCTTGTTCTCTCTAGACTGGAATACTGCTGTATACTAACTGCCCCCTTTAAGGCAGACGAAATTGCTGACCTAGAGAGTGTACAAAGAACTTTCACGACACGCGATAAGGCACTAAATTACTGGGAACGGCTGAAGGTTCTTGATCTGTATTCCATGGAGTGTAGGTGAGAGAGATGCCTGGTAATATACACTTGGAAAATCCTAGAGGGATTAAGACTGTTCAACTGCCTCCCAGCATACATAAGGGGGATTACCAGTAGACCCCTGGCTGTCTTCAAGAAGGCACTGGACAGGCACCTAAAGTCAGAACCTGACCAACCGGGCTGTGGTTCGTACATCAGTTTGCATGTGGCCAGCAGTAACAGCCTGGTTGATCAGACCTTGATCCACCATGAAGCCTGGTCTCAGACCGAGCCGTGAGGGCGTTGTTCCCTGAAACCCTATCCAGGTAAACTCCAGGTATTACAGTACACTCGTAGTGAGCTGTGAATACATTTATTGAAGGAAGTCTGAATAAATAAAGAATGGGTATAACTAAAAAAAGGCTGTATTAGCGAGATGCCCTAAAGTGAAGTGTTGTAAAGTGGGGCCCTCCTGTACATACCTTGGAACAATCAGTGTTTGGTCATTTTTTTTTTTTTTTATCACACTGGCCGATTCCCACCAAGGCAGGGTGGCCCGAAAAAGAAAAACTTTCACCATCATTCACTCCATCACTGTCTTGCCAGAAGGGTGCTTTACACTACAGTTTTTAAACTGCAACATTAACACCCCTCCTTCAGAGTGCAGGCACTGTACTTCCCATCTCCAGGACTCAAGTCCGGCCTGCCGGTTTCCCTGAACCCCTTCATAAATGTTACTTTGCTCACACTCCAACAGCACGTCAAGTATTAAAAACCATTTGTCTCCATTCACTCCTATCAAACACGCTCACGCATGCCTGCTGGAACTCCAAGCCCCTCGCACAAAAAACCTCCTTTACCCCCTCCCTCCAACCTTTCCTAGGCCGACCCCTACCCCGCCTTCCTTCCACTACAGACTGATACACTCTTGAAGTTATTCTGTTTCGCTCCATTCTCTCCACATGTCCGAACCACCTCAACAACCCTTCCTCAGCCCTCTGGACAACAGTTTTGGTAATCCCGCACCTCCTCCTAACTTCCAAACTACGAATTCTCTGCATTATATTCACACCACACATTGCTCTCAGACATGACATCTCCACTGCCTCCAGCCTTCTCCTCGCTGCAACATTCATCACCCATGCTTCACACCCATATAAGAGCATTGGTAAAACTATACTCTCATACATTCCCCTCTTTGCCTCCAAGGACAAAGTTCTTTGTCTCCACAGACTCCTAAGTGCACCACTCACCCTTTTCCCCTCATCAATTCTATGATTCACCTCATCTTTCATAGACCCATCCGCCACATATTTGCTCTTTGCATGGTGTATTTGTTGGGCTTCCTTTTAGTTTGTTCTCTGACATGGTGTTGAATAACCCTCTCAGGTTTAGAGGTTTTCATGAATCTTTTTTTTCCTAACAGTGGTTACTAGCTATGGTGATTGTCAAGTGAATTATTAACCACTTATGTTTTAGAAATACAGTGGTCCCTCGTTTATCGTCGTTAATCCATTCCTGGAAGTGCAACGATTATCGAAATAGACGATTTTTGAATCAGTTTTCCCCATAAGAAATAATGTAAATACAATTAATCCATTCCTGACACCCGGAAGTATTAAAACAAAATTTTTTTTACATGAAATATAGATGTAGTACATAAACAATACAATGGGACATGATGAATGAAACATTAACAGTGTAACACTTACCTTTATTGGTGATTCTTCTTAGTGTATGGAAGACTGGAGGAGGAGAGAGATTAGATTAGTTACTGTTTGGAAGGGGAATCCCCTTCCATCAACACCTCAGGTACCAAGTCCTTTTCTGGGGTTACATACTTCTCTTCTCTGTTTCTTAATGCCACTAGGACCAGCTTGAGTCACTGGAGTCCTGTCTCGCAAAAAAAGTGTCCAGAGAGCTCTGTTTCTGGTGTCTCTTTAAAACTTCCCTAAAATGGGCCAAGACTGTCACTGTACAAGTTGCCGATATGGCTTGCAACATCCTTCTCAGGGTGATGTTTCTCTATAAATCTTTCCATCCTACTCCACATTTCAAAAATCTCCTTAATTTCTGAAGAAGGCACCTTCTTCCATCTCTCTTCCTCCTCCTCTGCAGCAAGATTCTGAGCTGCGATCTGTTGCTGTTCCTGCTGAAGCTCTTGCACCTCCTCAGTGGTTAGCTGTTCACTGTGGTCCTCCACCAATTCTTCCACATCCTCCAAACTCACATCCAACCCCATGGAACTCCCCAATGCCACAGTAGATTTCACAACTGACATAGGCTCATCAGGGTCAGCCACAAACCCTTCAAAATCCCTCTTGTGGACACAATCTGGCCACAATTTTCTCCAAGCAACAACAGTTTCCTTGATTTCCTTTTTCTTTGCCACGATGGAAGATATGGTTGTATGGGGTTTGTTATACATCTTGGCCAGCTCGGCCACACATATGCCACTTTCATATTGTTCAATGATGTTTTTCTTAAATTCAATCATATTTCTCACCTTCTTTACCAAAGGCTTGGCACTAGGAGCTTTCTTTGGAGCCATGGTAGCTTATTCAGCACTTGCAAGCACTAAAATGAATGGAATATTATGAAATATTTCATATGAACAAGTGAGGGGACCGTCGCTCACTGGTAAACAATGGCACACTGGCTGGGAAGGGAGGCCGAGGCGGCTCAGAGCCGTGAGTACGCGTCCAGGACGAATGACGATTAGCGAGTCGAGCCAATGTTTGGACGAAAATAACACGACGATTTCCGAAAAGGACGATTATCGAGGGACCACTGTATTAAGTTTATTTCACTTTTAGGGTAATTTCATGTCTGTTTTTTTGGTGTACTGTACTTAGTTTAGATAGTTTTATCATTAAAAAAGTAATAAAGTTAGGTAAGGTTTGTTGGGAAACAGGACAAGTGTTTTATGACGCTGGTCTTAGTCAGATGATGACCCGTCGTTGGAGCTTTTGGTCATCTAACTGAGGCCTTCTGCTGACTTACCGTCCACCCCTTTAAAAAATATGGTCAGTTATAACCAACACATTAATAATACAGGTACCATCCGACTTACGACCGAGTTCGGTTCTGAGAAACCGGTCGTAAGTCGAAATGGACGTAAGTCGAACCTTACTACTGAATATCAACATCACATTTTTGTAATGACTTTATTTTATTGTTTTATTTTGGAATTTAATTTTTTACTTTACTTTTTATGCTGTTAGTACTGTGTTTTATACTGTAAGGTTTAGGATAAACACTGCGTACAACTCAAACAGTTGTTTATTTCCCAAAAATTTGGCATAGAAAACAAGGTCGTAAGTTGAGTGGTCGTATGTTGAGCAGGTCGTAAGTTGGATGGTAGGTGTATATATTAAAAAAAGTAGTCATGCGTTTCGGAGCTAATGATTTTGACACCTCAAGGGAGGGTCCCTGATACTGAGTGCTCCTGATCCAAGAAATAGACTTGTCCTTCCCCTCCTTGGATTAAGCCCAGTTGCCTCCCATTTCCCAGGCACTGTATGACCCCTGTGGGTTTAGTACTTCCTTCTAAATATAATAAAAATCATTAGTAATAGTCAATGGATATACATGTAATACTGTATAATAATTATATATTTGTGGGTAATACTGCCTCTCGGACATGATTTTGGTAATGCTACTCCAGGGAAGGATTTGTTTTTCTTACACTATTTATGTAGTTTGAATATTGTAAGTTTATTTAGATACAAGTACACATAAGTACAATTACTATTATACATAGTAACATATAGTATATATAAATTACTTAGGATAACTCCCCCCAAAAAAAGTCAGTGACTTGTTTCCAATCTTTGTATCAGTATTTTGTCTAGAGCAGTAATACCTTTGTTAATGTGGATAATTTGCCTAAGGATCTACAGCTTTTTTTTTTTTTTTCAGATTTGTGTCAGCATCTCCACATATGGCACCTGGAGCTGGTGGTGGCGGCGGTGGTGGTGGAGGCAGTGGGCTCCCTCAGAACAACCAGCCACCTTTGCCTCCACGCCCCACCGTTACTAGACCTAGCATGTATTCTCGACCAACTTATGGAGCCTATGGGTCCTATGGGCCGTATGGTAACTTAGGAGGGTCTTATTATGGTGGTGGATATAATGCCTTTGGATCTTCATATGGGAACTATGGCCGGCTTGGTGCGATGGGGGGACCTTTGGTTGAAAATGGGTAAGATATCGTGTGTTTAAGTACACCTACCATCCGACTTACGACCTGCTCGACATACGACGACTCGACTTAGGACCGTGTTTTTTATGCCAAATTTCTGGGAAATAAACAAGTGTTTGTGTTGTACACAGTGTTTATCCTAAACCTTACAGTATAAAATACAGTACTAACAGCATAAAAAGTAAAGTAAAACATGAAATACCAAAATAAAACAATAAAATAGTCATTACAAAAATGTTATGTTGATATTCAGTAGTAAAGTTCAACTACGTCCATTTCAATTTACGACTGGTTTTTGGAACCGAACTCAGTTGTAAGTCGGATGGTAGGTGTATGGTATATTCTCTTATAAAGCAAAATCTCACAGTTCAGTTTCATGTAAACATGATTGAAAACTTGTATCCCAAATTTTATAGTACAATATACTGTAAATCTTTAATATGCTTTGTAAATCTAAATAGATAGTAAATATATTTGGTCACTGGGTGCTCTGCTAAGAGCATCTCCCATAGCCCCAGGCCCCTAGTCTCTGCAGAAAGTTATGATGCATGTTGCATGACAAACTTTTGATCATATCAACATGAATCAACAGATAGTTAAGTCTAGACCTTCTAGAAATCTTTGGCTCATTTGCCTTTGCATCAATCTCTGCACTATGTTTAGTGAAGCTCAGATGATAGCATATTAGATGGAAAATGTTAAAAGAGGATAGTGTTTTGTTCTCCACTTTATGGCTGTTTGAGAAGTGAAGCAGCCATGAAGCAGAGAACTAAACTCCTATTCTAACATTATTATTCATCACATACACCATTATAAGCTTGCTGAACATGGTGCAGAGTTCAACCCAAAGGTGGATGAGCCCACTTTTGAACCTGCAGGGTCCCACTTACAATTAGTGTATGAAAGGCTAGACTTCAACTATCTGCTGCTATGAAAGCCTAGACTTCAACTATCTGCTGCCATGAAATTGATCAAAAATTTGTCCTGCAGGCAGTATCATAACTTTCTGCACAGAGTAATAATTGAACCTCCAAACCTCTTCAGTGGTTAGCTCTTCCTTGTGGTCCTCCACCAACTGTTCCACATCCTGGCCACTCGCATCCAACCCCATGGACTTCCCCAAAGACACAATACATTCCACAACAGGCATAGGGTTGACTGGGTCAGCCACAAACCCTTCAAAATCTTTGACCTACCATACATCCTGACAAGCTCGGCTAAATGTACGCCACTTTCGTATTTTTCTACAATCTCTTTCTTGAATTCTATCGCGTTTCTCGCTTTCTTTACCAAAGGGTTGGCACTAGGAACTTTCTTTGGGCCCATGGTGGCTTATTTCACAATCACAGTCAATAAACAAGCACAAAAATTGCGAAATGTTTTGGATGAATGCTCACTCAATCAGTGGTAGAGCCAGACTGAGGCTGTGTCCCAGCAGGCAGATATGTCTGATACATGCAATTCCTGGGACAAGGTACGAAATCCAGAGCAAAATTTCTCCCAAAAAAGTGTTCTAAATCTGAAACATCTGATATCCGGTGCGTGCAAAATCCGGAGTTCCACTGTATATATGTATGTGAAGCGTGACCTAAGTGTAAGTAGAAATAGCAAGACATACATACCTGAAATCTTGCATGTTTGTGAGACAGAAAAACAACACCAGCAATCCTACCATGTAAAACAGTTAAAGGTTTCTGTTTTACACTCCTTTGGCAGGACTGTAGTACCTCCCTGGGTGGTTGCTGTCTACCAACCCACTACCTAGGAGTTTACATGTAATATAATACAGTGGACCTTCGAGTTTCGTAAGCCTCGTGCTTCATAAATTTTGCCTTTCGTAACACTTTCGTCAAAATATGACCTTGCGATTCATAATTTTGCTTGCCATTCGTCGCTTGTCTGGAATGCGTGCGAGTGGCCTCCCAGCATCCACTCCACACAAAGGCACCACACACACCACTACCAGTCAGTGTGGCATTGTTTATTGGCGAGTGAACATCACTGCACGCGTCCATACAATACATTTCGTAATATTCCATTCTTTTTTGTGCTTGCAACTTCTAGATAAGGCACCATGGGCCCAAAGAAAGCTTGTAGTGCCAGCCCTTTGATAAAGAATGTGAGAAACACATGATAGAATTCAAGAAAGTAATAATTGCAAAATGTGAAAGTTGAGTGCATGTGGCCCATCTTGCCAGGATGTATGGGAAGCCCTATACAACCATCACTTCCATTGTAGCGGAGAAAAAGGAAATCAAGGAAGGTGTTGTTGCGAAAGGGGTAGATATGCTCACAAAAAAGATTGTGAATACTCGAAGATCTTGAGAATTTGTTGTTGGTGTGGATAAGCCAGAAACAGATAGGAGATAGTATTTTGTTTCTCGAGTCCAACCCTAGAAAACAAATTTTGCTGATTTCTTGTTCATCTGTAAATGCAGAGCTGAAGGTCGGTTTGGTATTGCAGTTATATCTGCTACTCTTTCACTATTGCTACTTCAGAGACCTATCTTTGCTTTTATAGTACCTCTTGGTTTCCCATAAAGTATGTATATGAAGCATTCCTTTGGGTTTCCTTTGATGTTTCCGGTTAGTTGTCTTTGATGTTCCTTTTACCATTTCTTAATTTCTCATTCTGTTTCCTATGTGTGATATTGATAATGGAAGAGTTTATTCTTAATTCAAGAATGTTACTGTGATGGATTGATATGATTATTATGATCTTGCAGATTTCTGCAAGTGGCCGAGGATAGTTCCCGTCAAGCCTTCCAGAGCATAGAGAGTATTGTCCATGCATTTGGCTCTGTCAGTATGATGCTAGAATCAACATATCATGCTGTTTACAGGTACAGTATATTCGATTTCTTTGAAGGTTTTTAAGTCTAGCTAAGTGATTATATTGCCCAGTATTGATGCATTTCCAAAGTTTTTGCTGTAATTGTGGAGGCCACCTTAAAGATGGGGAGGGGGGGGTGACAGTTTTTATTACAAATTGTATCAGAACTTTTCTGGAAAAAAATTTGAATGCAATTTGTGTAAACATTAAGTTTTCAGCTTGGTAAATAATGAAGTGGCAGATGCTAAATTTGTTATTGTACACTGCTTTGTGTGCAGTCTGATTTTATATCCTAATTTGCATATTGTATTAGCTATGGCCACTGTTGTATACTAAGCACAAATTTAAATATACTGATATCATTTTGTGGTTGTGTTATAGTAGTGGTGGAGACACTGAGGTTTGGTTTCTGAAATTAAAAAAAAAGTAGAAATTTGTGTCATATAGATAGCATCAGATATAAAGCAGGCTTGTCAAAAGTATTGACTTTATGCTCAGGCATTGATAGAGGGGGGTTGGGTTAGTCAAGACAGCTGGTTGTAACTGTTTGTGAACACAGCCTTCGAGAGGGCTCTGTAATGTCACCACCTTCAGCTGCAGACTTGGTACACAAGTTGGCTGAAGAAAACTAAGTGCACAACATTTGAATGCATTGTGAATAAAACTTGTATTTTTTTTTTTTTTAACTTTTTTTTTTTTTTTTTAAACACTTTCACCATCATTCAACACTTTTGCCATCATTAACCCTTTGACTGTCGCAACCCCCAATCCTGAGGTGTCTCCTGGTGTCGCAAAATTTAAAAAAAAAAAAAATTATTTTTTCTTATGAAATGATAGAGAATCTTTTCCCAATTGTAATGACACCAAAAAAACGAAATTTGATGGAAAACTGACGGAATTATGCTCTCGCGAAGTTAGCGACCTCGGCGCTGTTTACAAATCGGCGATTTCGCCCACTTTGAGCCCTATTTTCGGCTAATTCCATTGTTTCAGTCACCCAAACTCATAGCTATTTCTTTAGAACTCCATTTTTTCTATCGATTGAGTACAAGAAACTACCCATTTACCGATTTCAACTCCCTAATAATGTGGTCAGAAATTTGCAATTTGGCCAATTTCACGAAAACTAAAAAATATGGCAATTTCAAAATAAGGTCCAGAATGAACAATGCAGACATTCCTGGCTCTAAAATAACATTTTCTTTTCTCATCAGTCATGTCTCCAGGCCCCTCTGATATTACTCTTGCTTTCTATTTTGAATTTTTATTCAAAAAAAAAATAGAAGACTTACTATTATGCAGACTACTGCAATACTGTAATAATTGTATAAATAACATCAACCCATTCATGACTGCATATTAGAATGGCTACTTGGACATTTATTGGACAATGGCATCATTTGTTTACTTTTGAACATCGGCAAAAATCAAACATTTCCCCTACTTTGAGCTCCATTTCTAGGTTCTTTTTATAGTAAAATCAATCAAAATCACCTCTATTTCTATAATATGTTTTCCATTCTATCAAACAAGACCAAGAAAACGAGAATACAACCATAAATACTATACGAAAATAGACCACAAAGTCGGCATTTTAATTAAAAAAAAACGGCAGTTTTTTTTTTCTCATTATGCACTGCGTGCTCCAGGATTTTTTTTATATGATGCACACTGACCACACAGACCCATTCTCTCACATGTGGGCCTACCAGCTTTCTCCTGCTTGATTTGAAGCCGCTAGAATTTGTGAGTATATATACGTCAAACGCGGTACCTTGTAAGACGTATATATACGGCCGCGACAGTCAAGGGGTTAACACAAAATCACTGTCTTTGCCGAGGCACCCAGATACAACAGTTTAGATGTCACTCCAAACAGCCAATATCCCAAACCTCTCCTTTAACCCTTAAACTGTCCTAACAAATTTACGTTCACCTGTGTAGTGCTCCGAAAGTAGATCTACATTTTTTTACATATTTTCAAATATAACAAAAAAAAAAAAAAGGTAGATCAAAGTTTTTTACACGTTTCAAATGTAAAAAAAAAAGATTACGCTTTTTTACATACTTTCAAATGTTGAAAAAACGTACATCTACGTTATGACAGTTTAAGGGTTAAAGTGCTGGCATTGTACTTCCTACCTCCAGAACTCGAGTCATGTATTTAGTGGGTACTGGAGTATAAAGTTGTTTACTAATTAATATCATTGTCATTATTTCTGAGCATTAGCACCCTTATTTACATGTAGCAGTTTGCTCTGCCTTGACATCGTTCCTATAGTTTTTAATTATTTACATATGTTAGACATTTTCTTATATATAGCCTTGAGCCACCTAGCTCTTCCATGTTGCACCTAAGTGCTCACTACAGATACCTTTAGTAAAGGTATACTTAAGTAAGCATTTTGATCATTGTGTCATACAGCAGGACCCCCGTGTCTGCAGGGGATGTGTTACGAGGACCTGCCACATACTGAAACTGCAGATAGTAGCGAACTTTATATACAAGTCCTATATATACCTATTATAAAGTTTAATTGATAAGTTATGTACAATAAATGGAGAATTATCACTTTTTCACTGGTGGGAAGCATTTTCACAGCTTCTCTTGGGATTTGAAGAACCTCCATCATCACTACCTTTGTACTTTGAGGCCATAATTAAGCAAAATTAAGAGTTATTTTTGGGCCAGAGTAAAGTGCGGATAGCTGGAACTGCAGATACTGGTCCTGCGGATACGAGAGGGTCCTACTTTATTTCTAATATACGTGTTTTGTTGCTATGTTGTGTATTTTCACTACTTTCATAAAGCTTGTCTTGTGGCGAGTTCTTTTTTAATATTATTTAACCCTTTGACTGTCGCAAGCCCATTTCTGACACTGTAATTCTATTTCGAAAAATATTCGAAAAAAAAATTTTTTTTTCTTACTGAAATGTTTGGATTATTTTGCTGAGTGTTTTAAGCCAAAAAAAGTTTTTTTGTGATTAGTTTTTGACAAGATATAGAGGCATAAAGTTGGCAGAAAATGAACCACGTATGGCAACGGCGGTGAATGCCTCTCACCCGGTATAATTTTATTTACTCCAATTCGAAGGTTTCTTGTATTTTCCAATATTTTTTTTCTGAGTAACTTATGTGGCCTGTGAGACCAAAGTAAGGTGCAATGTACAAATATACTCATTGTATGCAACATAATAACCACACAAACATTATTATTATATTGTTTACAAAACTTGTTTACCCATACCAACAATACAAAAAATTGTTTATTACTAGTATTGTTATAAGTAAGTAAGTAAGTTTATTCAGGTATACACAAATACAGTTACATAGAATTATCATACATAGCAGCATATGTGTAAAGAACCTGGGATAACCCAAAAAAGTCAGACAGAGTGACTTATTTCCATTGGGGTCCTTTTACCTTATTATTATAAAATAAAGCTGATAATATCTTATTATTATTCTATAATGGAGATAACATCTTATTATCATACTAAAAAGACTAAAAAGACATAATAAAAGATCCACAAAGGAGGTGACCAAAATGACTTGAATAACTATAGACCAATATCTAACTTACCACTGCTCTCTAAAATCTTTGAAAAATAATTCATAGACGGATCTATTCCTACCTCGTCTCACACAACATATTAAACCCTTGTCAGTTTGGATTCAGGAATAATAAAAGCACGAATCATGCTATCATATACATGCTAGAACTAATATGTACCGCATTCGAAAAGAAAGAAGTCCCGCTGCGCATACGTAAAGCTTTCGATACAGTCGACCATGAACTGTTGTACTCCAAATTAACGCGCTATGGCATCAGAGGCCACTCCCTCAACTACCTAAAATCATACCTTAGTAACAGAACTCAATATGTGTATGCAAATGATGCAAACTCTTCCACCCAACCAATCACAGTAGGAGTCCCACAAGGAAGTGTCCTTGGACCACTCCTCTTTCTCATCTACATCAATGATCTACCGAATGCATCACAGCTTCTCAAACCCATATTTGCAGATGACACTACATATGTCTTTTCCCACCCAAACACAGTCATACTAGCAAACACAGTCAGTGCCGAATTGCAGAAAATATCTGCCTGGATGATGACTCATAAACTTACCCTGAATACTGATGAAACCTATTTCATTCAGTTTGGAAACAAAGCTGCAAATGATCCAATTAACATAACGCTAAATGGATCATCAGTCACAAGACTCAGAGGGAAAATTCCTAGGTATCCACCTTGACAGTAGCCTTAAGTTCCGGACACACACACAACAAATTACCAAGAAAATCTCCAAGGCATACTATCAAAGATAAGGTACTACGTTCCACAATCAGCTCTCCTGGCACTGTACCATACACTCATATACCCTTATCTTACATATGGAATTTGTGCATGGGGATCAACAACATCCAACCACCTAAAACCCCTAATAACCCAGTAAAAGGCAGCAGTAAGAATGATAACGAATTCCCACTCCCGCCAGCCTATTCCACCAATTTTGGAAAGTCTGAATCTGCTCACCATTAAGAACATCCATACTTATTCATGTGCCTACTACATACGCAGAACAGTACACACAAATATAAACCCTCCACTCAAACTTCTCCTCACCAACTTAAACAGGACACATGACCACAACACAAGACACAGATCTCTTTTTGATATACCTCGTGTCCATATAACACTGTGTAAAAACTCTATGCACATAAAGGGCCCCAAAATATGGAATTCATTACCAGAAGATATTAAAGTAACCCGGTCTGAAAATCAATTTAAGACTCTTCTCAAAAGCCACTTAATCACCCTAGACTAAACACTAAATACTCAGTACACACATAGTCACTTATGTTATTCCCACATCATAACTTCAACAATCACTTTGAACCTTTTATCCATTGTTGACAGGAATATAATTGCATCATTGTTTTCACAAAAAGCATTTTAGAATTTATGAATATATCTTTTGTCTTATACAAATTTGATTCACTTATAATTAATAATCTACTGTACAACTATGAAATAATTACTATCCTACTGTACAACTATGATATACTCCTTAGTGTTAAGTAGCCTGTAAGCCAATAATGTTAAGTTGGCCCCTAATGCCTAGGCATAATAGAGGCTCTCTTTGCATTGCAACCCACTATTGTAAATACAAAATCTCAATGTACTGTTTACAAAGACATAAAATAAATAAATAAATAAATCTACTTCACGAGGGTCATTAAGACTATCTACAATATGAGAGGCGTTACTAGGAATAAGGTAAAGTTACACATGTGTTAGCTAAAAAAATAAAAAATCATTCCCCTCCCTTTCTGTAGCTACATTCTTCAGACACCTTTTGGCTCTCTTCTTGAACTGCTTCATGCTATGACTGGCTTTGACGTGTGCGAGCAGTCTGTTCTATTCCTTTATTGCTGTACAATAAATGGTGTTTGAAGCCTGGCCACTGACTGTGGGTACTACAAAGTTGTGCTCTCTCCCCCTAGTACTATGATTGCTTTGGTTCCCAACCTTGACAAAATTGGCAGCAAGATATTCTGGACACTTGTTTGTGAGCAATTTTAAATACATGATTTAGCTTCAGTTATTTTACTCTGTCTTCAACATTCAGCATATCCAACTGCTGTAATTCATCCTGGCCTACATGTTCCCTTGGACCCAGGTCCAGGATGAATCTTAACATTTTGTTCTGGGTGATTTGCAGTCTATCAGTTTTTTTTTGTCAAGGCAGAGTACCATGAAGAGCAAGCGTAGTCTATATGACACTGTATAAGGGCTAGACATAGGGTCCTGCGAGCCTCAGTAGGTAGAGACTGTGCTTGTCTGTAGAGGAACTTCAGTCTGGTATTCGCTTTCTTTATTACACTGTTCCCTATCAATTCTCCTGACATGCATGGGTCAAAGGGGATTTCCAGATATTTTACTGAGGAAACTGAAGTGATGGGTTCCCATTACACTGGACATTAAAATTATTTACCCTTGTCAGTTTATGTTTCGTGCCAAAGAGAATGGCTTCACTTTTCCCGAGGTGTAATGATAGTTTGTTGTCTACTAACCATTTGCTGCAGGACTCCAGTTCCAGTGTTAATACATTAACTATATGTTGTGGGTCTTTACCTGACACTAACAGAGCACTGTCATCTGCATACAGCTGGAGTTTGCACTTGACACTGTTAGGCATGTCGTTAACATAGCATGAGAATAATAAGGGACCCAGAATACTACCTTGGGGAACTCCACAGGCTATCGGCATGTAATATATATGAAGTGGACCCCCGCTTTACGATCCGCTCCCGATGAGACCAATTATGTAAGTGTATTAATGTAAGTGCGTTTGCACTTGTATGTCTGGGGGTCTGAAATGGACTAATCTAATTCACAATATTCCTTATGGGAACAAATTCGTTCAGTAATGGCACCTGAACATACTTTTGGAATGAAATAATATCGTAAACCGGGGGTCCACTGTATATACAAACGTAGTCACTGGACACTTTCCTAGAACTGCTGCAGCTTGTGGAAGTCTTTGAAACACGGTGTTATGCACAGTGGAGTTTTACACTCCTCACACATAAAACAAGTGTGTCTGCGTTTTTGTGGACCTTTTGTGGTATGTGCACAGACAAAATGCCTCTTCTGAGCACTTTTCTTGAAAGTAGTAGGAGGCATTTGTAAGGTCTAGTGATCAGGCCTCAGACGAGAGGGCATGTGTTGGTAATTTCGTGGGCGCTGGTCTATTGCAGGTGCTGTTCCTTGGAACTTGAATATTATTTGTCTGATGACTGACAAACAAAATTCACATATTTTGGTTTGTTATTGGTCTTCAACTTGTACATGTTATAAGCATCCAGCATGGAAATATCAAGAAGATGGAAAAAAAGTTTTATGTACTACTTACAACTCTTGCAAACACAATCAGCGAACCCAATCTGCATGTCACATTTATCCACTAAGCAGATATTGAGGTTGTAGTCTATCACAGCTGCAGGTTTTAGAATGGGTTCATTGGTCTTTATTCTTCCTGCCACTGTCTGCCATTTCGTTTCGATGAACTGATGTCAACAATGTGAAATCACGTTTGTCATGCCACCAAAATGCCATGATGTCATTGGCAGCAAACAACTGCACCTCACCTCTACGAGTGCCTGTATCGAACCTAGGCATATGCTTGCAATTTCCATGCGCTGTGCCACACACGTCTGTCATGTTCACTCGCAAGAAATCACTGAGTAAGGGGCTTGTGTACCAGTTATCATTATATAATATATGCCCCTTACCAAGATATGGTTCCATCATTGTTCTAAACCACATCACCAGAGATACCCAATAACTTTCTGGTATCTCTCAATGTATTACTGCCAGTGTATATCAAAACCAGACCACTTTTGCAATCACATAGTACAAATAACTTTATACCAAAGCGTTTCCTCTTTCGTGGTATATACTGCTTGAACAACAGTCTGCCTTTGAACAAAATCAAAGACTCGTCAATAACAAGCTTCCTGAAGGGATAAAAATACATACATAACAGTAGCAAAAATCAATTCACTGGTACAATATCACTAAAACCTGGGGTTGAAATCAGGCGTTCCGTCGACCAGTATGTGGTGACAGTGTGCTTATACACATGTGGCATAAGCATTATTGTGGGAAAGAACAGGTACATCTCTACCACAGTTGTGTCCTTCCACTGGTGTAGCTGTGACCTTGGTGAAAGAATTGTTTGCCATAGTGTACTCATAGTATGTGTTGCTTTCCCTGACAATTTCCATTAGGGGTTCATCGAAGAATAACTGAAAGCATTCCAGTTCAGTGGCATTGTTCCCAAGTGTACACGATGGCCATATTCCACTTTGTGTTTCATCAAAGTCATGGGGATTGGGAACAAAATTGGCACCTTGCTGCCAATCCCAGATGCATTCTTCTGGTGGGTACTGGATATTGACAGGTGGTTGTGGTTGTGGTTGTGCAGGGTGTGGGGGTGATTGAGGCTGGGTGTGGCTGTGCTGAGTTAGCAGCATGGGTAGCAGCGTGGCCCTGTGCTAGTGCCACACGACTCATGCCAACACCACCACCTTCTGCCCCACACACAGTACGCATCCCCATTGTAACAATATCATCATCTACACTATCAGTTCATGGTGTAGGGCCACGGAATGTACTCCGAGATTTACTCTTTTTCCTTGGAATCGCATATGGCACACTACCAGAATGCATGCTGCGTTGTACATACTGCCGCTTCACTGGAGAATATTCCCCCTCACTGTCACAACTTGAACTGCTTTCATTAGTTTGGAAATCACTATCACTATCACTTCCACTACTCACATCTGAGTCCTGTACACGGGGAAATAGTTTCCTCTTTCATCCGGTACAGGTGAATGTGAATGAGATGGCCCAGCACCAGAGGTGGAAGGTTGTAGGTCATTTGGGTTTTCATCACTAATTACTTTATCCTGGGCACTGCTTTCGGTCACACCCTCCTGAAAACCATGGAATTCACTTTCACTGTCACTTCCATCAGTGTTAGAACTATCACTTGGGAACAGAAGACCTCCAATTCAGCGAGGAGTAAGGTACCTTTTACCGTGAGGCATCGTGAACAAGGACTACTAAAATGGTGTTCGCACAATGCACCACCGAGTCCCCAATTTTTTTTTCATATGCACACACCCATCATGCAGACCCATTCTCTAACATGTAGGCCTATCAGCTTTCTCCCGCTTGATTTGAAGCTGCTAGAATTTACGTGTATTAATACGTCGGAAACATTGCTCGTAAGACATATATATACATGTACAGCCGAAACAGTCAAAGGGTTAGTTAAGCTGGAAATCAGTTATTAGATAAGCATGTTAAACCTAACTTTGTTATTTTTTTAAATACACTACCTAACAGAATACTCCATTCTACTGAATGAACAGCAATGCATGCAACCATTGGACCTGTCTTTGTAATACTCATTTGTATTTTATAGTTATCTGTTTACAATAATGTCTTATCACTGATTTCATCATTGCTTAGTTAATCTTAAGTTAATTTTAAGCCAGCCCGTAATGCTATGCATATAAGTGGCTTTGGCATGCTGCTCTTACCTGTATTTTTTGTACCTCTGTTTGTATGCTAAATTTCTAAATAAATAAATAAAAAATAAATGTGTATTTGGGTCATCTTATGGTTGTTACTTAGATTTATTAGTTCCCCCCCCCCCAAAAAAAAAAAAAAACTTTGTGTGCACTTTATTTAAGCAATCCCCTCTACTCTTTTCTCACAGTTCATTCCGTGCTGTATTAGGAGTTGCTGATCACTTCTCCAGAATGAAGTCTCATTTTGCTCAAATATTTTCTGCACTTGCTGTTGTTAGAACTCTACGATGGTTGTACAGGAAACTTCTATACCTCATTGGTAAGTATATATTCATAGTAGTGAGTGGGATTTGAGCTCAATCTGCCGGCTCTGGTATTACCAATCCAATGTGCTTAACTGCTAAGCTGTGTTCTACATTTTTCACTTACTTATGGAATTTTATATACAGTGTTCATTAATGTGCAAAGTCAGATTAGCTGCATTGCTTGAAGGATCTGACCATGAATTCTTATGAGAGAACTGCAATTGCTACTGCACAATATTGGAGCTGCAATAGTACACATTATCAGACTGTATATAAATACTTTTGTTATATCTGCAATAGATGTATGTCACAGATATGTCCTTTATGCTGTCCCCTTTATCTCCTCTTCTGTCCTTTTTCTGTATTTTCTACTTCCTTTGGCCTCATCTTCTACTATACAGTTTCTTCCTCTATCTCTTCTTTCCAGTTTATCACCTCTCCATCTTGTTATTTTGCTATTTTTTTATTTTATCTCTTTATCATCTTTCAAATTTTTCTTCCTATGGTGGATCACCACAAGAATGTTTGGTATTTTGCATGGGATTACACATGTGCAAATATCATCTTGATTGAGAATTCATTTGACCTATTTGTAGCTATATGAACAGAGCTGCCAAGTTTGTAATGTTTGGTCTTCAGTATTTAGTGTATTGTAAATTCTTTTAAGTTTTCAGTGGTTGTGACCCTTTCCATTGTTCTACTGTTGTGAAGAAATGTTTCAGTATGTTTTCAGCAACTCTTTCCTTTGGTTGTAGTTTATGTCCTTCTCTTATGCTAGCTTATGGTATTAGGAAGTCTTCCTTGTCAATTCTTTTGTATACTTTTATAATCTTGAATGTAGATATATCTTCTTTTTCTACCTATTGGCCAAAGATGGTATATCTAGTATTTTCAGTATTTCATTTTAGCTCATATATTTTTATCTCTTAAAGATGTTTCATTACTCGTATAAGGGGGACGGGTTACTTGTAATAATTATAATTTTTCTGCCTAGCAAATGGTGAATAGAGTTTTCATCGGAGCCTACAGTAAGAGATCCTTTGCCTATGCATGTGAGCTGGACATGCTTAACAGCATTTCAGTTTTAAAAGCTCAGCTAACAAGTTCTATATCTTCTGTCTTAATACTATGGCAGTTGAGTTCCCATCTTCATATATGTTTACAGCTGTCTTCACTGTGATTTGGGATTCTGTTGCTAGGATTCGTAATGCTTCATCAGATCCAAATGTAAAATACACAATTTTGCAATGTGAAAAATGCATTTCTTAAGATTTGGTGAACAGTGTAGCTCACCATCTCATTGAACCCCTTCCTTCTGCACTAGTTGTAGGCTGATTGGATAGAGCTGGTCCTAAAACATGAGAATTAGGAAGAGAGAGAGTCCAAGTGGTAAGAAGAGATATATATACTACTAAGCTAATAGTGGCTAGGTGTCTATATTAGTGGGAAAAGAAGTATTGACTTAGAGGTAGATTGTATTCCTAGTAGTTTGCATACTATAAAATTATGTACTCTACTGTATTATCATTCTGAAAATTCTCTACAGGTTTAAGATCTCAAAATCCTAGTTTAGAGGCTGCTTGGCGCACCACTGGAGGAGCGAGTGAGTCAGCTGTTTCTACAATAACAGAGGCTGATATTAAAGCTGCCAAATCTTCCTGGCCTATAGTGATGTTTTTAGCTGTTGTGTTTGGTGGTCCTTATGTCATTTGGCACCTGTTGTCATCAATGGCACCCCCTGCCAAAAAAACGCGAACTTGGATTACAGGACTTGGGGAGCATTATATTGCTCTTGCTCAATATTCTTTTGAGGTAAGGGCACTAATATTTTTATATTTTATTAGCAATGCAAGCATTTCATAAAATTTACTCTTATCATAAATGTTGTTCCTGTAATGTAGTTGCAGCAATTAAGGTTGTTATAGTGGAGATGCAGCCATAATAGAGGTTGTAGTAATGATGTAGTTAGTCATTGTAAAATTTGTTGTAAGTATAATGTTTTGATTACAGTATATACTCACACTATAATACATGCAAATTTAACCCTTTCACTGTCGGTCCTGTAATATTATGACTTGCAAGCTGGTAGGCCTGCATGTGAGAGAATGGGTCTGTGTGCTCAGTGTGTGCAGTTTAAAAAAATCAGGGAGCCAGCAGTGCATTGTGGGAATGCCATTGCAGCATGCCTTGTTTACCACGCCTCGCACTAAGAAATTCCTCACTCCCCAGTGAATTGGGACTCTTCTTTTCACAAGTGATAGTTCTAACACAGATTGAAGTGTCAATGAAGATGAATCTCATGGTTTTGAGGAGTTTGTGACCGAAAGCAATGCCCAGGATACCAGAAATAGTGCTCAAAACCCAGACAATTATCAGCCTTCCAAAAAAGTCAGACAAAGTGACTTATTTCCATGTTGGTGGTGGGGAAGACAGTGTGGGTCATGGGGAAGACAATGGGGTTGTGGGGAAGGCAGTGTGGGTTGTGGGGAAAGCAGATTACCTAGGATAACCCAAAAAAGTCAGCGACTTATTTCTATGTGGGTGGTGGGGAAGACGGCATGAGTGGTGGGGAAGGCAGCATGGGTTTGTATAGACATGTTATGTCAATAGTATAACAATAACATTGTTTGTACGGTTATTGTTGCATACAATGAGTGGATATATTTACATTATATTGGTCTCACAGGCCACAAAAGTTACTTGAAAAAAATATTAAAAAAGAAAAGAATTGAATAAAAGTAAAGATAATACGTATTACCGAGTGAGCGGCAGTTGCTGATGTTGCCGTAAGCAGTTCACTTTGTCAACTTCTCACCTCTATATCTTGATAAGTACTGATCGCAAATTTTTTTCTTTTAAAACACTCGTAAAAATATTCTTAAGATTTTGGTAAGAATTTTTTTTTTTTTTTTTTTTTTTTTTTTTTTTTTTTTTTTTTTTTTTGAATATTTTTCGACACAGAGAGAGTTCATGATCAGGGGTCTCGACAGTGAAAGGGTTAATACAACCTGCAGTTGGAAACAGATTTTAGAGGATGTACTATTCTGTCAGAGTGAATTAGAGGCTTCTTAAATATTTCTAACTCCAGGAGAGTTGCTAGTCTGTTCTTTGTCTCGTGAATTTCAAAAATGACTGGTAAATCTTGCCAATCTGTACTTATATTCAGTATGCCATTGTATTCTTAATTCCTGTGTACTCTTAATTCTCTAGTAGAGTATTTACTTTTCAATTTAAGAGGCTCTTAACCCCCTCGGTGTCAGTCCCATAATATTACAGCTTTATTTATTTATTTATTTATTTATTTAGTAATTTAGCATACAAACAGAGGTACAAAAAAATACAGGTAAGAGCAGCATGCCAAAGCCACTTATATGCATAGCATTACGGGCTGGCTTAAAATTAACTTAAGATAGCTTTGAAGCCAATGTGGGTCCCATAACACTACGCCAAAATTCCAGTGGCTTCAAATTTGGTAGGAGAAAGTTGGTAGGCCTATATGTGAGAGAATGGGTCTGTGTGGTTAGTGTACGCAGTATAAAAAAGTCCTGCAGCACGCAGTACTGTACATGATGAGAAAAAACTCTGACTGTTTTTGGTTTCAAACTGCGACTTTGCGGTATATTTTTGTATGGCTTTTATAGTTGTATTCTCGTTTTCTTTGTCTCATTTGATAGTGGAAGATATATTACAGAAATAGATGATTTTGAATGGTTTACAGACTAAAAGTAGCTTTAAATTGAGCTCAAAGTAGTGGAAGTGTTTGATTTTTGACCAGTACAGGTCAACTGGTGGGTCTAATGTGCATTCACGAATGTGCTGATATTATTTATACATTTATAACAATAATGCAGTAGTCTGCATAACAGTAAATCTTCTATTTTTTTGTGTGAATAAAAATTCAAAATGGAATGCAAGCATAATATAAGAGGGGCCTAGAGACATGACTAATGAACAGAGAAAATGTTATTTTAGTGCCAGGAATGTCTACATTATTTATTCTGGCCCCTATAGTATGTTGAAATTGGCCTTTCTTAAATTTTGTGTGAAATTGGCCAAATTAGTAAATTCTGATAATTTTATTGGGTAGTTAATCTTGCCAAATAAGTTCTCTCAATTGAGAAGATGTAGTGCAGATGACAAGAAACAGATGATTGCTGATGTTATGAATGAAAAGAAGTTGGATGTCCTGGCCCTAAGCGAAACAAAGCTGAAGGGGGTAGGGGAGTTTCGGTGGGGGGAAATAAATGGGATTAAATCTGGAGTATCTGAGAGAGTTAGAGCAAAGGAAGGGGTAGCAGTAATGTTGAATGATCAGTTATGGAAGGAGAAAAGAGAATATGAATGTGTAAATGCAAGAATTATGTGGATTAAAGTAAAGGTTGGATGCGAGAAGTGGGTCATAATAAGCGTGTATGCACCTGGAGAAGAGAGGAATGCAGAGGAGAGAGAGAGATTTTGGGAGATGTTAAGTGAATGTATAGGAGCCTTTGAACCAAGTGAGAGAGTAATTGTGGTAGGGGACCTGAATGCTAAAGTAGGAGAAACTTTTAGAGAGGGTGTGGTAGGTAAGTTTGGGGTGCCAGGTGTAAATGATAATGGAAGCCCTTTGATTGAACTTTGTATAGAAAGGGGTTTAGTTATAGGTAATACATATTTTAAGAAAAAGAGGATAAATAAGTATACAAGATATGATGTAGGGCGAAATGACAGTAGTTTGTTGGATTATGTATTGGTAGATAAAAGACTGTTGAGTAGACTTCAGGATGTACATGTTTATAGAGGGGCCACAGATATATCAGATCACTTTCTAGTTGTAGCTACACTGAGAGTAAAAGGTAGATGGGATACAAGGAGAATAGAAGCATCAGGGAAGAGAGAGGTGAAGGCTTATAAACTAAAAGAGGAGGCAGTTAGGGAAAGATATAAACAGCTATTGGAGGATAGATGGGCTAATGAGAGCATAGGCAATGGGGTCGAAGAGGTATGGGGTAGGTTTAAAAATGTAGTGTTAGAGTGTTCAGCAGAAGTTTGTGGTTACAGGAAAGTGGGTGCGGGAGGGAAGAGGAGCGATTGGTGGAATGATGATGTAAAGAGAGTAGTAAGGGAGAAAAAGTTAGCATATGAGAAGTTTTTACAAAGTAGAAGTGATGCAAGGAGGGAAGAGTATATGGAGAAAAAGAGAGAGGTTAAGAGAGTGGTGAAGCAATGTAAAAAGAGAGCAAATGAGAGAGTGGGTGAGATGTTATCAACAAATTTTGTTGAAAATAAGAAAAAGTTTTGGAGTGAGATTAACAAGTTAAGGAAGCCTAGAGAACAAATGGATTTGTCAGTTAAAAATAGGAGAGGAGAGTTATTAAATGGAGAGTTAGAGGTATTGGGAAGATGGAGGGAATATTTTGAGGAATTGTTAAATGTTGATGAAGATAGGGAAGCTGTGATTTCGTGTATAGGGCAAGGAGGAATAACATCTTGTAGGAGTGAGGAAGAGCCAGTTGTGAGTGTGGGGGAAGTTCGTGAGGCAGTAGGTAAAATGAAAGGGGGTAAGGCAGCCGGGATTGATGGGATAAAGATAGAAATCTTAAAAGCAGGTGGGGATATAGTTTTGGAGTGGTTGGTGCAATTATTTAATAAATGTATGGAAGAGGGTAAGGTACCTAGGGATTGGCAGAGAGCATGCATAGTTCCTTTGTATAAAGGCAAAGGGGACAAAAGAGAGTGCAAAAATTATAGGGGGATAAGTCTGTTGAGTATACCTGGTAAAGTGTATGGTAGAGTTATTATTGAAAGAATTAAGAGTAAGACTGAGAATAGGATAGCAGATGAACAAGGAGGCTTTAGGAAAGGTAGGGGGTATGTGGACCAGGTGTTTACAGTGAAAACTATAAGTGAACAGTATTTAGATAAGGCTTAAAGAGGTCTTTGTGGCATTTATGGATTTGGAAAAGGCGTATGACAGGGTGGATAGGGGGGCCAATGTGGCAGATGTTGCAGGTGTATTGTGTAGGAGGTAGGTTACTGAAAGCAGTGAAGAGTTTTTACGAGGATAGTGAGGCTCAAGTTAGAGTACACAGGAAAGAGGGAAATTATTTCCAGTAAAAGTAGGCCTTAGACAAGGATGTGTGATGTCACCGTGGTTGTTTATATATATTTATGATGGGGTTGTAAGAGAAGTAAATGCAAGGGTCTTGACAAGAGGCGTGGAGTTAAAAGATAAAGAATCACACATAAAGTGGGAGTTGTCACAGTTGCTCTTTGCTGATGACACTGTGCTCTTGGGAGATTCTGAAGAGAAGTTGCAGAGATTGGTGGATGAATTTTGGTAGGGTGTGCAAAGAAGAAAATTAAAAGTGAATACAGGAAAGAGTAAGGTAATGAGGATAACAAAAATATTAGGTGATGAAAGATTGGATATTAGATTGGAGGGAGAGATATGGAGGAGGTGAATGTATTCAGATACATGTTTTTGGGAGTGGACGTTGTCAGCGGATGGGTCTATGAAGGATGAGGTGAATCATAGAATTGATGAGGGGGAAAAGGGGGGAGGGGTTTGCACTTAGGAGTCTGTGGAGACAAAGAACTTTGTCCTTGGAGGCAAAGAGGGGAATGTATGAGAGTATAGTTTTACCAACACTCTTATATGGGTGTGAAGCATGGGTGATGAATGTTGCAGCGAGGAGAAGGCTGGAGGCAGTGGAAAATGTCATGTCTGAGGGCAATGTGTGGTGTGAATATAATGCAGAGAATTCGTAGTTTGGAAGTTAGGAGGAGGTGCGGGATTACCAAAACTGTTGTCCAGAGGGCTGAGGAAGGGT